CATGGACAATCCCCATGCTCACCAAATAAACATAGTAAACAACAAGTCTCAACGTAAAAATCCATAAACATAACTGAAGCTATAAGCATAAACAGTATGCAAATCCAGCATCCAATCATGGCAGCATAATATAACAGCAATCTAACTCAGCTCCGGCCTCCTGCCGCCTGAGGTCTCAACATTACCTGACCCTGAAATAAGCATTCCCCAGACGTGGGGTGAGATTTCTAAACTAGAAATCTCAGTAAGACAAGGGGTCCTCAAGGATCTTCCACCCCAAGCTCACTTACATGTGCAATATAAGTTCAAAAAGCATTTATATCATTATCAGTTCCAAAACTATGTAGTGCAACAAATACCTATGGCATGTGTGTAATCACTATCTATTGGCCAGAGAAATGTAGGAATACGTCTATTCCCTACATGTAGTACAAGGAACACCGCTTTCACTTCACCCACAGCCTCACCCTATTGTATGTTCTACATACTCAAGGATCTTCCACCCCAAGCTCAAAGTCCAATCACAGCAGATCACAATCTGATATGGACCAAATATAAATCAATAAACATTTACCACATGCATACAAATTAAAGACAACGCCTTTTCATTACGTTTTCAAGTCTTAAAGCTTCTAACAAAGCCACAAGCCCTTAATCCCATGATTCTGGCTTAGTCCATAAAATACAGAAGTTCAACTTCATCAATCTAGGGTCCACAAACCCCCAATAGCCTACTGTACACACAGCACAACTACTGTTATGCGAAATCCCAGGATATCCGGATATTCCTCGGGACCATATCCGGATATGCAATATCCGGATATCTCACTTTCCATATCCGGATATGCAATATCCGGATATACAGATTCACATATCCGGATATCCAATATCCAGATATCCCAAAACCCCATATCTGGATATCACATATCCGGATATCCAATATCCGGATATTCCACGGGCAGATATCCGGATATTTCATGACAGAATGCAGTTTCTGCATTTTCGTGAAGATATCCCTTAAAGGTTCCCTTTTTACCGATTTTAAACACCTAATCATGCATTTCTAGGCGTGTTCAACATTACCCAACAACAAGTTATCATCTTTTAGTCATTAGATGCATCAAGGTATCATTTTTAAGCCTTAAAACTCAAGTTAAAGGTTGGTACAACATACCAAGGCTCAAAACTCAGAATGGAGATGCTCTTGGAGCTCACTAGACACTTCCAAGATTCTGTCTCTCACTGCACACGAAAATGGTGCACCAAGGTGGTTCTTTTACACAACAAGGAGGCTCCTTGAAGCTTCAAAACACCAAGAACAAGATGACTCCTCTCAAACTCTCAAACTCAGCCCCCTCACCAGCTCAACACAGTAGTTGGAACCTCAGAAAAGACCCTCCTTTCACTCCCACAAGGATGCTCTCAAGTGTAAACAAGCTCAAGGATGAAGAATCAAGAAAAATGAGGAGAAAAGGCCACAAGGCTCTCCGAGAGGAAGAAGACAGCAATGGAACAGTGTATAAGGTGCAAGTCAGCCACCAAGTCACGTAGACAAATCTGAGTGCCTAGGGTTTAGGGCCAAGTGTGCCTATTTATAGTAATTTAACACATAAACGCACAGTATTAACTTTCATTGCTACGCTTAGCATTTTAATCCCAAACTTTGGTTTATGAAACTACATAATTTTCTAAGAATTAACATATTTTTCTTATATTTTTCTGAGCACCTTCCCGCTACGCGTTTTTCAAAGCCAGTACCGGTTTCTAGCACCAGTTCTCATTATTTGGACTTGAAACTCGTTTTACAAGTCCTACATATTATTCTAGTAATTATCATGCAGTTACTTTAATTTTACAGGATACTTTTTCGGTACGCATTTATACCGACTAGCAGAACCGGTATCTGCACTTTTCTTCCGAAAAGAGACTTTCAGCATTCTAACCCACTTATTATGATTATTAAGCCCATAAATAATTATTAGGGTCAATTATGGAATCATTTCCTATTTTTGCATAATTAATTAATTAAATACCTTAATTAACGATGCGGGTTCTTATAGATCGCAACATCAATCCTCCTGAAATCTTCCTCATGAATATCTCCATTTCTCTAGATCAAGATAATATTATAAACTGTAAAGAAAGAGTCCCTCCAATCGAAAGAGCAGCCTAGTAGTATTGAAGAAACCAAAGGGAAAGGAATGGAAGAAAGGCAGAAACCAACTGTTCTTTACCATTGGGCAATCTCTGAACACATGTAAGCAATATTCTACTTTATCAGGACAAAAATGACATCTATCAGAGGTACCTCTCCATTTAGCATTTCTATCCTTTGTTAAAAGTATACGATGATTGATCTTTCAAATGAGTAATTTTATCCTTTCTTGACCTTTCCATTTCTATATTATGTCCCAGCAACTGTTTGGTAAGGGGTTGGTGAAGTTCGTCAATTTACAATAGGCAAGTTTCACTAAAGATTGTCTGGTGTTCCAATCTTTTCAAGCAAAAGTGTCCACTCCAGCTTCTACTTCAAGAAGTGGAGTAATAAGAATGGAATTGACAACATTAGGTTCAAAGTGCTTATTGAGATATTGAGCATTCTAGCCACCATTAGACAAAAATACACTACGATCAATCTTATAATCTAATTCCTCGGGTTTAGGGGGAACAGTTACAACAAAGAGGAGATTTGAGGCTAAGCCTGTTGACACGAGCTGTCGAACTCGCACAAATTAAAAATTATTTTTTTATTAGGGTTCAGAAAATTTGTAGTAAAGTGGAAACCCTAAGTCGTCTCTCAAGGAAATTGTTTTGGTAAAAATCGCTTATGATGACAGAAAATTAAAAGGGGGGTTTTGGATTTTGATTGAATAATTAAAAAGGCAGAATATAAATTTGGAATAAAAATTCGTAATTAAAAATTAACCAACCTAAGGTTAGGGTTCCATGGATGTCTTTCCTCGGATAAAAAGATATCAGAATCGTGATTGATCGTCAATCGAATCAGAATCCTTATTTCTAATTGACAACCCTCTCTAAGCGATCGCTTAGCATTTGATCGAATACGGTGCTTCTACTCATACAATCGCAGAGTATCAGCCCGTTTGATTTAAGATCATAGGGTCAATCAATCTAACCATCAAATCTGATGATTAATCCCTTTCCATAATCTCAATTGCGAACCTCAGATTGAATATCCACGATCGCACGTTATCAATCTGAGTTGGGAAGAGAAACAAAACTGATTTAAAATAAAGCGCAGACCCTCAAGACTAATCCATGGAATCCGTTACCCTTAGGTTGATTAAAAGGTTCTTAGCCTCGCATGGCTAATGTAAACATGATTAAAATAAAATAAAAAAAGAAGAAGAAGAAAAAGATGAAGAACGCGAAGAACGCTCCAGAGAAAGTGCTTTGATCCTAAAATACGAAAATTCAGAATCCCTAAAATATTTCCTACTCTGCCGTCATATACCCCTACCCAAAGCGGGTTAGGGTTCAGTTCTGATCGGTCCATCTGTCTTAAATACGAAATAAAATAAAATAAAACTAAAACTTGGCTTTGGGCCACTTAAGTAAATGAGTTTTAATTTAAATTACAAGTCCAAAAATAAAATAAAACTTCAGCAAAACGCGTCCGGCTTGGCGTAAGAAATATACCAGTTTCCAGTCTGAATTGGGCTTCGAACCTTGCAAAAGAATTGTAGCCCTCTGTGTTATCTGAAAAACCCAACAAGAAAGGAGTCAATCCGACAACTGTGGACCGAGATATGGCCAAAATACAGAAGTAGCGTAAAGCTGAAAAATTCTGACGAAAATAAATTAAACCCAATCAAAAACTAAAAATGTAAATTAACTCAAAACATCATCATTTTATTCAAATAAATCCTAAAAATACTAATCAAGAGTAACGAATAAGTGTAATAAAATATGAGTTATCAAATTCCCCACACTTATCTTTTTGCACTCCTGGGCAAAATCTAGAATAGAAAAAGAAAGCAAAGAAATAAGAAAAGAGTGAAGATCAACCTATCATTTCTAATAATTAGCAAGTGTACAAAAGATAACAAAAATCACAAGTCTTGAACAGATAAAACCAAGACAAAAATTCTTTAATCTCAAATCACAAGACCTGTCAATTTCAACTGCAACTGCTAACTACACAAAAATAGTTCCTCACAGGATGCTCTCAATTTTTCTCTCAAGTGTATCAGTTAATTCAGTATATCACTCAAATCAACTCAAGAAAATCATCCTACCATAGGCTTGCTCGAGTTCTACTTCTCCACTGCTAATAACACATGCATGCACAAATCAAGAGGGCTTTATGTAGGGTTGTAATGGGGCTGAGGTAAAGGTATGGATGAATATGGAAGAGAAAGCTAAACACCCCAGAAATTTACAAAGAGCAAAAGTTAAGAACTAAACTAAGAATATAAAACAAATATAATGAAAAGATAGAAATAAACACAATTTTTTTTTTGTTTTTGTTTTTTTTTTTGTTTTTTGTTTTTTGTTTCGTTTTTTTTGTTTTTTTTGTTTTTTTTTTTTCAGTAAGTATAATACAGACAAAATATCCAGATGGTTACCCCACACTTAAACTTTGCACGTCTCGGGCAAACCCTCACACTTAAACAAAACACTACAGTAAAACCAATGCTCAGTAAATCTCCAGGGTGTGAAATTAATTAGTTTTTCACTTAGGCTTGTAATGTGGCTAAAAAAATAAAGGATATAAAGGCTCAAAGGAGCTTACCAAGGGACAATAATGCAAGGGATGACTATCTGGCTAAAGTGGGTAAAGAAAGAAATGAATGTCTCAATCATATTCATGCATGTAAGTGAAAAATGCAGTTTCAAAAAGAATCAGAGCAAGTTCTAAAGAACAAAGATCAAGAGAAGAAGCACACAAGAAAGAAAGCATGGCCAGAAGATATGCCATGTATACAGGCTCAAAACCTCACAAAGGTATACCAAATCATGCAATCGGCAGCACAATATCAAATAACAAGTAATGCAATCCAAGAATCAAGAACAAAGCCTAAACAGAAATTTCTATCAAACCCTGTGATTTAAGTATAATCCATGTATAACTCACTAATTACCAGAAAGAAGAGAAAAATCTACCTATGAAAGTCAAAAACTAAAAGAAAGAAAGGAAAAGAAAAATAAAAATGCAAATAACAGAAAGAAAAGAAAAAGAGGGAAGAGAACTCCCTGAACTCCCTATGGAGAATAAACAGCATCAAGTAGCTTGATTTCTTCCTCACTGGTTTAACACTTTCTTCAAGCAAAATGCGGTGCATGCACATGGAAGGGCTGATTTCCACATTATCTGCTAAAGTCCATCCAATTGCCTTCTTACTTTCTTTCAGCAATGTCAAAAGCTTTTCCTCCTGCTCAGGTATAAGGTTCTTGGCCACTATCACATGTAATTGTTCATTTTCCTCCAGATATGAATACTTCAGATGGTCAGGCAGAACCTTTAGTTCCAACTTAGGTGGCTGCTCAGTGGATGGGAGAAGTCTAGCGGGTGCAGGTTCTACAGAAAACACATTAACATCTATGTCTGCAATCAAATTCTCAGAAAAAGAATCATCAATAATTTCAACAGGAAATTCAAAATTCAACTTCAATGCAGAACCACTGTGCAAATCATCATTCAATGCATGATTAACATCAGAACAGCACACCGCTATCTCAGCACAAATAGTACAATTACTACTATCGGTACAACCACATGACAAATCAGAATCAAGGAATGATGATAATTCTGGAAATTCAGCAGTTAAGCCAGCAGATATATCATCAATCATTTCATCAATTACATCCATACAGAAAATCGAATGCTCTTCCCTAGGAAATTTCATGGCATCAAAGATATTAAAATTTACCATGCTATCACCAAATTCCATTGAAAGAGTACCAGCATGCACATCTATCTTAGTCCTAGCAGTTTTCATGAAAGGTCTACCAAGTATAATTGTACTACTAGGAATCTCACCCTCCATCCCTAAGACATAGAAATCAGCAGGAAAAATCAGATTGTTCACCCTAACTAATATATCTTCAACTACACCAGAAGGATGAACACTATTGTTGGCTAACTGAACAACAATACCAGTAGCACGCAAGGGACCAAGACCAAGAGACTTATACACACATTCAGGCATAACATTAATGGATGCTCCTAAGTCTAACATACAATCATGAAAAATAAAATTTCCAATAATGCAAGGGATAATAAATGTCCCTGGATCTTGGCACTTCTTAGGCATGGGCTGGATGAGTGCTGACACATTCTGGCTGACGCTGACTCGTTCATCTCCTTTCAGCCTCCTCTTGTTGGTGCACAACTCCTTCAGAAACATAGCAAATCTTGGAATTTGCTGAATCGCATCCAAGAGTGGGATATTGACCTCTACTTTTCTGAAGGTGTCAAGAATTTCTTTATCTTGAGCTTTTGCTGCTTGCTTTTTAGACTGAGTGGCTCTTTGAGGAAAAGGTAACAGGATGTGGACATCAGAAGTATCAGTATTCTGCTTCCTTGAACCAGTGTCACCTCCTTGAGATGACTCAACAGCAGATTGGTTTGGTTCCTCCAGTTGCTTGCCAGACCGCAGAGAGATGGCACTAACATTGCCGGTTCCCTTTGGATTTGGAACTGTCTGTGATGGAAGGGAGCTACCACTTGCTTGTTGATTCTGACTCATTGATGTTGCAAGTTGGCCAATCTGTGTTTGCAGATTCTGGATGGAAGACTCAGTTCTTTGTTGGAACTGCAGATTGTTAGTTGCCATTTGCTTCACTAAATCCTCCAAAGAAGGACCATTGCTACTGGCTTGCTGCTGCATTGGTGGCTGCTGCTGCATTGGCTGTGGAGGTGCTAATTGTTGAAAATTTTGCCTATACTGTGAAGGTGTAAACTGCTGCCTCTGCTGGAATGTGCACTTTGCTGGTTCTGATTCCAATTGAGATTTGGATGATTTTTCCAGCCAAGATTATATGTATTAGAGAAAGGATTGTTTTGCTGCTGCTGCTGCATCTGCTGGTATTGTGGCTTTACAGGAAAAACTGCAACAACAGACTGATCAACTTGGAAACCACTGTCTTATAGAGAAGGACAAGCATCTGTGGGGTGAAAAGGATCATAACAGATGCCACACATGTTGCTTATCTGTTGAGCAGAAGGTTGCACAGTCTGTGTCACTGCCAACTGCCTCACCATTGATGCCAACTCATCAAGTCTGCTCTCCATTCACTGGTTATTTGTGCTTGATGCTTCTGTTGCTGCCACTATTGGATTTTGCATTGGAGGAGCTTGCACTTGGAATACTGCACTGCTGTTTGCTGTAGTGCCAAATTGTTGAGCATTAGCCGCTATCTCAGCAATCAACTCTTTTGCCTCATCAGGTGTTTTATTTCCCAAGACTCCTCCACTAGCTGCATCTAAAAGGTTCCTATCCATAGGCAGCAACCCTTCATAGAAGTAAACAATCAGGAGATTGTCTGGAATCTGATGATGTGGACAGCTTGCACAAAGCCTTTTAAACCACTCCCAATACTCATGCATGTTCTCCCCATTAGCCTGCCTTATGCCACTGATCTCCTTTCTGATTGTGGTGGCCCTGGATGAAGGGAAGAATTTCTCCAGAAACAATCTTGACATATCATTCCAGCTTACAATGGAGGAAGGTGGCAAGTAGTACATGCAGTCCTTAGCTCCACTGTCCAGAGAGAAAGGAAAAGCACGCAGCTTGATTTGCTCCTCATCTACCCCAGTTGGCTTCATAGTGCTGCAGACTATATGAAATTCCTTCAGATGTTTGTGAGGATCCTCACCTGCAAGACCATGAAACTTGGAAAACAAGTGTATCAGTCCAGACTTAAGCTCAAAAGGTACAACAGGATTAGCATAACAAATACACAGGGCTGCTCATTATCAACATTAGGAGCAGCCAATTGCTTAAGTGTTCTATCACCCATGATTTCAGAATCAAAAAAACTACCAAACGAATAAACACTATGTAAAGGACTCGAACAAACAGACTCAACAGACTCGGACTCAGTAGACTCAGACTCTAAGGTATGCTCAGGAACAGCTCTACTGTAAGTCAACCTACGAGCTCTACTAGCAGCACACAATGATCTCTCTATCTCAGGGTCATATGCATATAAATCATCAACACTGGTGGTACTCCTAGTCATGTATCATAGGTAAAGGCATACAGCAGTAAAATCACAAAACATACGATAGGTCACAAAAAATTTCCGAAAATAGCAAACAAAAGCAAAAATAAATCTACGAAAAATACCAAATGACCTCAGAATGCTATGAGACCAACTCTCCTAAACTCTAAATGACCTTACAGACTCAAAAATCAAATAAAATTTTTTCAAAAAAATAAAATAAAATAGTAAACGAACGAATTCGGCGAAACTAGGGTCTGATAGCCCCACAACTTTTGACAAGGATGATCGTCTTCTTCAGGTCACCAATTTTCAGATCGATCAAAGTAAGTCGAACAAATCCAGAAATACCTGACACGTCCTGAAACGACAAAGAAACACCAAAACGGGTTAGTAAACGATATAATTTGGCAAAAATAAGGGCCACCTCATGCCCTTTTAGGGCATGATTTATGCTCAGAAGGTCAAATTCATTTCGGAATAGAACTCTTGAAGTCAATCTCTCAAACAGAAGTTTTACTGATTTCCCCAAATTTGCCCAAAACTACCCAAAACGTAAACCGTAATGCAGAAAACGCAAAAACTAAGAAAAGACGCGTGTGCAGAATCAAATTCCGATGCAGAATCAAAGGTGCAGAAATCGGAATCAGAAACACAAACGAGTGCAAACGCAGAAACAAGACAGATGCGTAAATTTTTTTTTTTAAGATTTTTTTTTTTTAGAAACAGAAACGAAAAATTAAAGAAAAAGAAGATAATCAAATTCAGAAAACGATTTTGACCGATGCAATTTCCCCGGCAACGGCGCCAAATTTGACACGAGCTACAGAACTCGCGCAAATTAAAAATTATTTTTTTATTAGGGTTCAGAAAATTTGTAGTAAAGTGGAAACCCTAAGTCGTCTCTCAAGGAAATTGTTTTGGTAAAAATCGCTTATGATGACAGAAAATTAAAAGGGGGGTTTTGGATTTTGATTGAATAATTAAAAAGGCAGAATATAAATTTGGAATAAAAATTCGTAATTAAAAATTAACCAACCTAAGGTTAGGATTCCATGAACGTCTTTCCTCGGATAAAAAGATATCAGAATCATGATTGATCGTCAATCGAATCAGAATCCTTATTTCCAATTGACAACCTCCTCTACGCGATCGCTTAACATTTGATCAAATACGGTGCTTCTACGCATACAATCGCAGAGTATCAACCCGTTTGATTTAAGGTCATAGGGTCAATTAATCTAACCATCAAATCTGATGATTAATCTCTTTCCATAATCGCAATCGCGAACCTCAGATTGAATATCCACGATCGCACGATATCAATCTGAGTTGGGAAAGGAAACGAAACTGATTTAAAATAAAGCGCAGACCCTCAAGACTAATCCATGGAATCCGTTACCCTTAGGTTGATTAAAAGGTTCTTAGCCTCGCATGGCTAAGGTAAACATGATTAAAATAAAATAAAAAGAAGAATAAGAAGAAAAAGATGAAGAACGCGAAGAACGCTCCAGAGAAAGTGCTTTGATCCCAAAATACGAAAATTCAGAATCCCTAAAATATTTCCTACTCTGCCGTCATATACCCCTACCCAAAGCGAGTTAGGGTTCAGTTCTGATCGGCCCATTTGTCTAAAATACGAAATAAAATAAATAAAATAAAATAAAACTAAAACTTGGCTTTGGGCCACTTAAGTAACTGAGTTTTAATTTAAATTACAAGTCCAATAATAAAATAAAACTTCAGCAAAACGCGTCCGACTTGGCGTAAGAAATCGACTAGCTTCCATTCCGAATTTGGCTTAGAACTCTTCATAATAATTGTAGCCCTCCGTGTTATCTGAAAAACCCAACAAGAACGGAGTCAATCCGACAACTGTGGACCGAGATATGGCCAAAATACAGAAGTAACGTAAAGCTGAAAAATTCTGACGAAAATAAATTAAAACCAATCAAAAACTAAAAATAAAGATTAACTCAAAACATCATTATTTTATTCAAATAAATCCTAAAAATACTAATCAAGAGTAACAAATAAGTGTAATAAAATATGAGTTATCAGCTGTCCAATTATTTTTCTAGAAACTGATTTTTTGTCTGTCACCAATCTGCCAAACGATATTTCTTATGATATCAAGCCAGATTTTACACAAGCCTCTCCAAAAATGTAAATCATAAGGTTTACTTATCATTTCTTTCGAAAGGTCTCTATTTCTGCCATACTTAGCTGAAAGGACTTGGGACCAAAGATGGGAAGGAAAATGAATTAGGCACCAGACATATTTATGCAAAGACGCTTCAGTCTGTTTTCTTAACTTGATGATGCCCAAACTTCCAAGGTTCTTTGGAAGGTTATGATGCTCCTAAGCTATTAAATGGTGTCTTCTTTGAGAGACTGAATCCCCCCAGATGAAATTCCTCTGAACTTTTTTAATTTCATCGCATATACCAACTAGAAGAAGGCTATTTTGCATATAGAACATAGGCATGACCGAGATAACAAACTTGGCTATGATGACTTTACTAGCCATATACAAACACTACTTTTTCCAATCTTGCAGCCTATTATTGACTCTGTCCCTAATATCTCCAGAACGCAATTTGTTATCTCTCACATGCTTAAGAGGTATCTACCTAGATTCTTAGTTTGCACAAAACCACTTTTCTCAACAATAGCATTAGCTAGATTAGCTAGAACAATTTTGGGAAAAAAAGATGCTAGACTTTAGATAGCTAACCTACCACTTTTCTCAACAATAGCAGCAGCTAAATTAGCTAGAACATTTTTAGAAAAAAAAAGATGCTAGATTTTAGATAGCTAACCTTTTAACCAGAAATTTCTTCTAAAGGAAGCTAAACAGTTCATGATAAATATCTATCTGAATCATCTGATCAATACTGACTTATGCAAAAATGCATTAAATATATGAATTACATACACATCACAAATAAATAAGAAAATTTTCAGAAAAGACAAACACAGAGTCAAATATCGCTCAATAAAGGACCGAGGGAATGTCCCACACCCAAAACCACTATTATCATAATTACTTTCCTTCTCGTCACTCTTGCGCTGATCTTTTTAATAGTCCACTCCAATTTTGTTAGACTCTTCCTTACATCTCATCATTATTTCCTTTCCCATTTTCCCTTTTATTTTTACATGTCATGCCTTTTAATCTTCTTTTTGACCATTATTGCCACCTATTTCCCTTTCCTTACACCCCAGAGCGTTGCTTTTGTTTTCTAAAATACTTAATTATGTATCTAACATCAACATTTAATGGTGGTGATAGATAAAAAATAATAAAATAAATCACAAGTATTATTTTTATGTAATATGGGCGTAGAAGTGGTAGGCTAACTAGTGTACAAAGTTTTAATTCCAAACATTTTCCATATAAAACAAGGAGAAGAGATTGATTTCTTAACAACAGCCTCAAGGATTTTAATCTCATTCATGGAACCAACCAAGAGCAATTTGGTCACCCAAAGAATCACCCATTGCTTGCTCAATATTATTTATGTCCTGCCCAAAAATTTATTTACAATTGCAAAACAATGAACCGATTGAAATATTTCAAAAAAAAAAAAAAGTTCACTCACCGTACGTAGCATTTGTTAGTTGAGCCGTCAAAATCTGATTCAATCTAGACGGTAAGAATTTAGAAAGCACAGTGCATTGTATAGAAGGGTAATTAAACACTTGAATATAAAATAATAGAAGAATAATATGTTGTGTATTGATCTGTGTCAGAGAGTTACAATATATAGAGACCTTAATGAGCTTAAGTGAAAGGCCCAAACCTAATCCTAATACAGTCAGAATATTTACGGATAAGACGGAATCCAATCATATCTAATCATATCATATCTAATATTCTAACACTCCCCCTCAAGCTGGTGCGTATATATTATGAGCACCAAGCTTGTTACAAATGTATTCAACCCGAGGACCTCTAAGAGCTTTAATGAAAACATCCGCTAGTTGATCAGAGGAGTTGACGAAAGCAGTCTTGATTTCTCCTGACTGAATCTTTTCTCGAATGAAGTGACAATCAATCTCTAT